GAGACTCCAACTCAAAAAAAAAAAAAAAAAATTCTGCTCAAATTAGGTAATAGGGCATCTGACATTTTTAAACTGTGCAAACTGTGTTCCAGAAATTCCACTTCTAAGAATTTAAGAAACAGTCATGATTGCAAAAGAAATTAGCTGTAGAAATGTCCATTTAACAAAATGTATAAACTGAGGAAAACCTATGAATAACCTATGTGTCCTACAATATCAAATTAGTCTACTAAGTTTTATACACACACACACACACACACACACACACACACACAACGTATGCAGCCATTAAAAAATAAAAATAACTGGGCTCGATGGCTCAGCCTGTAATCCCGCACGTTGGGAGGCTGAGGTGAGTGGATTGGCTGAGCCCGCGGGTTCGAGACCCGCCTGGGCAACTTGGCGAGACCTCATCTCTACGATAAATCAAAAATCAGCTGGGCATGGTAGCGCACGCCTGTAGTTCCAGCTACTTGGAAGGCTGAGGCGGAAGGATTGCCGCAGTCCAGCAGGTCAAAGCAGCGGTGGCCGGGAGTGGCCACTACTCCAGTCTGGGCGACAGAGTGAGACTTCAACTCAAAAAATGAAATAAGATAAAATAATAAAAATGTGGCCGGGTATGGTGGCTCAGCCCTGTAATCCCACCACTTTGGGAGGCCGAGGCAAGAAGATTGCCTGAGCCCACAGGTTTGAGACCAGCCTGGGCAACATGGTGAGACTTCATCTCTATAATAAAATTAAATTTTTAAAAAGCCAGGCAGTCAGGGTAGCGTGTGCCTGTAGTTCCGGCTACTTGGAAAGCTGAGGTGGAAGGATTGCTGGAGCCCAGTAGGTCGACACTGGAGTGGCTGTGAGCATGCCACTGTACTCTAGCCTGGTGAAGGAGTGAGACTCCAACTCAAAAAAATAAGTAAATGAATAAAGTAAAAACATGATGAAAGAATATTTAATGTGAAAAGAATCTTTACAATATATTAAATGAAAGAGCAGGTAGTGTTTTGGGAAAGTTCATAAATATTTTGAAGACTGGATTTACATACCCAAGTAGTGATGTTATCTATTGAGTAGTGGAATTATAAGTGATTTCTCTCTTTTTTCCTTTTTTTCCCCTTGTTCCTATTTTCCAATTTTTCTAAGATGAACATCCAGTAATTAACGAATTCTGGTAGTTTAAAATATGTCACACGCTGGGTGCAGTGGCTCAGCCTGTAATCCCAGCACTTGGGAGGCCGAGGCGAGAGGACTGTCTGAGCCCCAGGGTTTGAGACCAGCCTGGGCAACTTGGTGAGACCTCGTTTCTACAATAAATCACAAAAACTAGCCGGGCGTGTTTTGTAAATACACATTAACTGTTTCACAAATCTATCCCAGCCAACTATAAACAATATTTAGCAGAATTCTGGTATTTATTTTTACTTCCTAAGTTTTTTGTTCTTAGTGTAATGAACTTTTTATAAATTCTTAATTTGTTTTTTTTGGATAGAATACATTAACTGTTTCAAAATCCAAAATATATTGACTAACACCCTCCCCCACACCCAGTCCCACTGCCTAAAGGCAACCAGTGTTAACAACTTGAGATATTTTATGCATGTAGTTCCAGCTACTTGGAAGGCTGAGGCAGAAGGATCGCCTAAGCCCAGCAGGTCAAAGCTGTGGTGGCCATGAGCGTGCCGCTGCACTCCAGCCTGGGTAAAAAGAGTGAGACTCCGACAATCAATCAATCAATCTTCACAAGTTCTTTGACATGCTCTTCAAAATGTGGAGCCTAATTTCTCTGTCCTTGAATGTAGTCTAGATTTAATAACTCACCTTCTGATAGGAAAAAGTAAAAGTGACACTTTGCAACTTTGGAAACTAGATCACAAAAGATACTATGGCTTCCTCCATGCTCACTCTTCAGATGACTCACTGGAGAAAGCCAGCTGTCACACTATGACATCTAAGCAACCTATGGAGAGGCTCATGTGACTGGGAACTGTGACCTCCAGTCACAAGTCACATGGGTGAGTCATCCTGGAAACAGCCTTCAGATGACCATAGTCTCAGCCACAGCTTGACTGCAATCTCATGAAACACCCTGAGTCAGAATGATCCAGCTATGCCACTCGGTTCCTGGCCCGCAGAAATTGAGGCAATAAGTATTCATATTTAAGCCACTAGGTTTGGAGCAATTTGTTACATATCAATAAATAATGAATATGCATATTTTCTGCAGTCATCACATAATTTAATTTAAAAATTCTATTATCTAAAATGAACAAAATCTAGTAAGAACAACTCAAGAGTGTTGCTTTAACATGGTGTATGTCTGAGTGGGCTGTATTTTACAGCAGGAGTTGTGGAGGAACTGAAATGCTTAAGATAATATATATTATAGTCCTTACACCCTAAATGTAGTTTTTCTTGGAATAACTATGGCATACTTGTATAAATACTGTATCTTGCACATAGCAGTCCAAAAAAAAGAATGAATTATATAATAATTGGTCTAAATTCCTAAATAAGGAATGAATATAATTGTTGATCCAAAGGTGCTAAGTATTATACGAACAAGTGGTTAAGTGGTGTTTATAGTTCTAAAGGCTTTTAAGGGAGTGGACATTCAGTGTTGGATAAAGGCTTCAGGGAGGTGGGATTAATTTCAGAAATTAACACTGTAATAGGGGAACAGGCAGGCTAAGTAGGACAGCACAGACTCAAATTAAGAGGTATGTCTGGCTGTTGGCTCACCCTTAGAGTCCCAGCTACTCAGGCTGAGGCTGGAGGATCCCTTGAGCCCAGGAGTTAAAGGTTATAGTTATAATCACGCCACTGCACTCCAGTCTAGGCGACAGAATCCAACCCTATCTCTAAAAAGAAACAACAAAGAGGCAAAATTGAATTTGATGGGTTTAAGGGACAGAAGACCTGTGTCAACCAGGACATGTTTTTATAAGCAGTGGAAACAAATTTAAGAAAATCCAATAGATTAATTCCAGGACAGTTATAAGGCATCTAGGCCTTTTATACTTCAGGTTAGAGAATTCATTGAAGGTTTTTATATGATTAAAATGGTCTTCAAGATTAATGCAGGTATGGTGTCCAAGACCTAGCAGAGACAGACAAGGGGCAAGGAAGAAGGGCTAAGACAGTGGCAGTGGGAACATTATTACTAATTATTTTAGTGCCTACTATGTATCAGGCACTAAGAGCTTTATATGCATACTCCTCACAAGAACTCTTGAAATAGGTACTAGGATTACCTCCATTTTATAGGAAGCATGTTTAGAGAGGTTTAATAACTTGCTCAAGTCTATAGGCTGGAAAGAATGAACTTTGACTCCGCAGCCAGGATTATTACTGGGGGTTGGAGACATTTTTAAAGATGGAATTAAGGTAGTAAGTGAAAGAACTTGACTTCATATTAGAGAGGAAGAAGGGGAGAGATGATATTCTGTACATTTAAAAGTAACTACCATCCATTGAGCTCCTATTATTTTTCAGGACTGTAAATGTGTTCAATGAGTTGTATATTTGATCAATACCCTGCAAAACTTGGCAAGGAGTCTGAGACCAACCTGGGCAACATAGTCTCTCAAAATAATTTAAGAAAATGAGCCAGGTGTGGTGGTGTGCGCCTACAGTCCCAGCTACTTGGGAGGCTGAGGAGGGTGGATCCCTTCAGCCCAGGAGGTCGAGGCTGCATTTTACAAATGGGAAAACTGAGGCTTGGTGGAATTTGAAGTTTGCTGGGTGCTGGTTGCCCCTTCCAATGCACCGCCCTTCTCTCATAACCAGGGACTCGCCACTAGGCTCAGAGGCCTGACTGAGTAAAGACTGATGAGAAAGAGGAAAGCCAGCCTACCTTTTCCAGCATAATTTTATAACTGTAACTCAACCTTTGTTCTTGGACATGGAGTTTGTGGGTGGTTCTGAACCATATAACATTGTCTAACAGTTGAGGAAAACCGATGCTGGGAAGAATGAATGTTTTTTGAGCATCTGCCGGTTTGGAGCACTTCTTTCAAATCTTGGGAAAAATTAAAAATTTTAAAATGCATATGAAAAGAATAACATTTCTTTATCAGTTAGTTTGAAGGAAATGAGTCTCCTTAAAAGTTTCCATTTTCAAAAAAAATTGTTCAAATATAGTATGATTTATCATACCTGACAGGAAAACTGAGTATAACTAAATATGAAACACTTACTGCTGTATTAAACAATGTACTCCAGAGTCTTGGTCACGAGCTCAAGTACTGGGGTCAGATCATCTAGCTTACTAATTAGCTAGCTGTGTGACCTCTGGAAATTTTTTTTTTTTTGAGTTGGAGTCTCACTCTGTCGCCCAGGCTGGAGTGCAGTGGCACGCTCACAGCCACGATCTGCTGGGCTCAGGTAATCCTTCCACCTCAGCCCTTCAAGTAGCAGGAACCCCGGGTGTGTGCCACCATGGCTGGCTATATATTTTTTGATTTATTGTAAAGACGAGGTCTCACTAAGTTGCCAAGACTGTTCTTGAACCCCTAGGCTCAGGCAATCCTTTTGCCCACCTCCCAATGTGCTGAGATTACAGGTGTGAGCCACCATGCTCAGTCAACCTCTGGAAAGTTACATGAACACTCTGGGTTGTAGAATCCCTTCTCTAAAATAGCAGCATCTACCTCAAAGGATTGTTGTTGGACCAACAGTGCAGAGAACTCAGTAACAAAATAAAATTTCAGGACCCTCTAAAAGCCAAAGAGGAAGTGAAGCCCTGGAGGTGGAGTTAGCATGTTTGCAACTTCTGTTTCTTACATTATAGAATAACTCTCTTCCTTGTTTTTCTATTTTTTTTTTTTTTTGAGTTGGAGTCTCACTCTGCCAGCCACTGCAGCCTCAACCTGCTGGGCTCAGGCGATCCTTCCGCCTCAGCCTTCCAAGTAGCTGGAACTGCAGGTGTGTGCTACCACGCCCGGCTAATTTTTTTTTGATTTATTGTAGAGATGAGGTCTCGCCAAGTTGCCCAGGCGGGTCTCGAACCCGCGGCTCGGGCAATTCACTCACCTCAGCCTCCCAAAGCGGGGGATTACTGAAGGGGTCCAGCCCCGCAAGGTTCATGAGGTTTTTTGAAGGAAAGACGGATAGGTGAAGGACGAAAATATTATACTCGGACACCTGATTTCTGAACAGATGACATCCTTTATTAGTTAACAGAAAGCTTTTATACTATTCGTAAAGGGGCAAGACAAAGAAAATTCCTTCACATACATATCTTTTAAAAGTTACCACCATCTAGCGGTCTTTAGAAGAAACGAATAAGCCAAAAACACTATCTACTTTCAGTTAATGAGTCTTGAGATAAGTTTAAAAGGAGTTTCACTTAAACTAAATATAATGTATACAAAGTTTACTTTGATTTTGGGTCCACATCACTTGTCTAATTAAAAAAGCCTTAAAATCACTAAAACAAAACTATAGATTGTACCTAGTGATAGTAGGAATATGAAGTCCATTAACTTGACCAAACAGCAGTGGCTAGCATTTAAAGAATAACTATGAAAGTCACTTACTGTGAAAATACATATACTAATTTTTACTCTGAATAAACACATAAAGTGAACTAAACATAATGAAATAAAACTAACACAACCAAAATTATTATGGTTATATAATTGCTAATGAGCTTTTAAGTTTAGGATAATGGTGATTTGGCTGTTTTTGTTTCTGTTTTTGTTTTTGTTTTTGAGTTGGAGTCTCACTCTGTCGCCCCAGACTGGAGTGCAGTGGCCGCTCCCGGCCACCGCAGCCTCGACTTGCTGGGCTCCGGCGATCCTTCCTCCTCAGCCTTCCGAGTAGCCGGAATTACAGGCGTGCGGAACCACGCCCGGCTGATTTTTTGATTTATTGTAGAGATGAGGATTTTTTGATTTATTGTAGAGATGAGGTCTCGCTGCCCGGGTGGGTCTCGAACCCGCGGGCTCCGGCAATCCACTCACCTCAGCCTCCCAAAGGCACGGGATTACAGGCTGTTTTTTTTTATGCTTGGCAACCTCCTGGAAAACATCTTTGTCTTAAGATAGGCACTTGAGCAATTATTATTATCTTTGAGGCACCAATTTTATCATTGTGTGAACTTAAACTTACGAACTTAAAACAATCTTCAAAGTAGCTTAAAACACTATAGTATTAAAACTTAATTAATGACTCAAAGTAAAAACCTTGCTAAGCATAACTAGAGCCTAATAATTTTTGACAACCCTCATACATATGTATATTGATCATATAAACTTGTATGATATTACATTTACCAATTACGATTAATACATGGATAAAACAATTATGTCTAGAATAGCACCAGCAACTCTCTTCAAAAGAGTCCCAAATTACAGTCCTTGAAGTGCTTTCAGAAAGTTCCCAGGTGTACAGCTCTTTATGTAGCAGTTTTTCTCTTTTGGGCTTTTACGACCTTCAAAGCTTTGTAATCGCCTTTCTTGTCCAGGTGTCTTTGTTACTTTTTTCTTATCTTGTAGTGTTTACTTTTAAAGAAAACTCAAAAGAAGCTTTTAATGACATTTCCCAGGCCCCCAAGGTTGCTTTCTGTATTTAGTTAATTATCATAAAAGTATCTAATTAGTATATTATGAATTCAGTGAAAACCCACTCTATAAATGTTTACTTAAAATTTAACTATAGAATTAAGTAATAACCTTAACGATTAATCTATATCCTAAGTCTGTGAAGACAGTGTTATAAATCACCTACATAAGTGTTAGAACTTATAATGAACTCATAATGAACTTACTATAAACTTGTGCTTCTAAAAAACCTTATGTCTAAACACTAAACTGCATAATTCTAAATCAAATAAGGAGTGAATATACTAATATCATTTTTTATTCAAGCAATATCTAGTAACTTATAACCAAGTGAAAGAAAGCATTCTTGATGTGCTTTAGAGTTTAACTCTTGCATATGTTAGAAAAGGCCAAGCGGCATAGTGGGAAAATGGGAAAATGAACCATGACATTCTTAGGTTAGGTGTGAGTACTTCGCATAAACATGCCATGTTTTTCTTCCACGACTGCACAGAATTTCTTCAGCCGTACCAAACAGCAAAGGTGGAAGACAGAAGGGCCTCAGCTTCCCGGGCTCACCCTGCGGCCCCGGGGTCTTCGGCCCACCAGGACCCTGTCAATCAGGTGGACCGCCAAGGCCGGCTCCCAACAGATTACAGGCTAAGCCCGTGTCCGGCTTCATTTTTCTTTTTCTTTTTTTAAATTAGGGTCTCACTCTATCACCCAGACTATAGTGTAGTGGCACAGATCATGGCTCACCACAGCCTCTACTTCCTGGGTTCAGGTGATCCTTCCACCTCAGCTGGAACTGCAGGTGTGTGCCACCACATCTGGCTAAAACTTTATTTTTTGAAGAGACGAGGTCTTGCTCTTGTTACCCAGGCTTGTCTCTAGCAATCCATCCACCGTGGCCTCCCATAGTGCTGGGAATGACTAGGGGACAAGCAACCAGACCTCCTCCCCCTCCAATCACTGGTCTTTGTTATAGATTAACAGCCTCCTTTATTGTCCTGCATAGAACTCGGATCAGATGGTGCGAAAGACCCCATGTCTGTTACATCTACAGTGTGGAATGTCAAATATGCCTTTCCGGGGTATGGGGGCAGAAAGACCACCTCAACCAGTCAGATCCTTGCAAGCATGCATTAAGCCTTATATAGGAAGGTGTTGACATTCTGTTAAACTTCCCTAAATTGTCTATATAAACGATCTCAAACTTCCACATTTTGGAATACTGACTCAGTCTAGAATCTGTGCTTTCCAGGCGGCTGTCCTTCAACTTTTCATGTGAATAAGCTCTTTAAACTAGATTCTGATCCGTTTCATTATTTTAGATTGACACACCGTCCAATAAACATTATTGAAATAAGCAAATATTGAACCTTCGGGGAGGTTTATGACAGTTAGGTAGAAATCTTACTCAAATTCCTATCTTTGGGCTCCCCCATTCATCGTTGTGACTTCTTTATAGATAAGAACACAAATATTTGTAGACGTGAAACGCATTACCATCGGAACCGAAAGAAAACCGGAGGGGCTAAAATACGATTGTGGCTGCTCTCTTTTAATCACAAACCCTAAAAAGGCATACCCACTTGGACGTGACCTAACAGTTAGGAAGGAAAAGACACATCGAAGCAGTTCACTTCAGTGACGTCGAAAGGTTCTGTCGACCCACACGGATTCTCTCCCCCTGAGGACCAGGTTACAGTTGGAGTCGCAGAAAACACTTTCATCGGGTCCTTTGGGCATCCCGTAGAAAATCAGACAAGACCCAAATCAATCGTGCCCTTATCGAGCACGAGCCCGGGAAGTAAAGCCCTCGCTTGTGTGTTTAAAGAGACGTTTTCTTCACGTCTGAGCCCCTTCCGTCCAACTACAAGTTCCAGCGGGTCGGGTGTACACTGTCCCCACGGCCGCCAGGAGGCCCGCGGAGGGCGCGGGCCCAGCCCCCACGCGCGGACGCGGCGGCCTCGGCAGGGGCGACCCCGCCCGGGCGGAGGCGCGGGCGGGCTCAGGCGAGGCGGGTGCGCGGCCGGGACTGCAGCTGGCGCTGGCGCCGCTTGCGCTGGCTGCGGAGGAGCTTCTGCGCGATCTTGCGCTCGTGGCCGCCGGGCACCGGCCGGTTTGTGCGCAGCTCCTGCTCGCGCCGCGTGCGGCCCTTGCTGCGCCCGGCCCCGCAGGCCGGGAAGTCGCGCAGGTAGTAGTAGTCGGGGCAGTCGTAAAGCTCCTCCTCGTTGTTCACCGGCGGCGGCGGCCGGGCCCGAGCGTGGCCGGACCGCCGGGCCCGACGCGCGCCCGCTGCCATCGCGCCCAGCCGCCCGGCCGCCCGCCCGCTCACGCCGGCAGGACCGGCGGCCCCGCCCGGCGCTCCGATTGGCTATCACGCCGGCGGGGGGCGGGGCGCCCTGACGTCACAGAGCGGGCGGGGCCGTGGGCGGGGCCTCCTCGCCCCGCCCCCGGGAGTCCCCACCGGCCGGAGGGCGGAGCAGTGGACAAACTCCGGTCCAGAACTTGACGTTTCTGTCGGCCCCAAACCGTAAACGACCCACGTGTGGGTCCGCTTCAAGGACACGCGGGGCTGTGCCTTCCTCGGAAGACTTCGACCGGCCGTGGACACTGAGTTCGGCTATTTGATGACATGAGAAAGTGCTCGGTAATGAATAAATGTAGCTTCTGAAGCAATTTCTCTTATCCCAGGAACGGGTGAAAACAAATCTGTCCGCATGAAAGACGGAAATTCATCACGCGCTCAACGTAGCTCCAGCTGGTAGGGCCGTATGTTATTTTGCATGTGTTTCTTTTCCTCTCCGCCAGTCCGTGTTGTGGGTAAGAAATGCGACTTATCTGCTACGCGAGCATCCAAGAGGGACCAGGCATCTGCTTGCTGCGAGGCGGGAGCCGAGCGCGTCCCCGGGCCGCCCAGGCCCTCGCCCCCGGGCGCTGGGGTCCGCCGCGCTCTTTCGGATTATCCGCGGGCCCTGAGCTGCTCAGCGGGGTCATCTGGGGAGACTGCCTGGAGGCTGCAGCCGCCGCTCGGGGGAGCCCGTCGTGGGGACGCGGAGGCGGCCCGGGGAATCGGGCCAGGTGGCCCGCGCTCCGAAAGTTCCAGGTCTCCCTCCTCGCGTCGCCTCCCAGGTCTAATTACCTAATTACTGCATCCCTGAACGCTGCTCCCAGGGAGTGATTGCGAAGCAGGCCCTGCTTGGGCTTGGTTTGGCTGGCACAGATAATTCTTGTCCCACAAAAATTACAGCTGCCGCCTCCTCGGGGATTTTCTTTGTAAGAGATCGAAGGTGACTCCCTGCTTTTTATTTTTTTAGGGAAACAACAGAAATTTCTCAAATATTTGATCTTGCTGGGTGACTAAGATCAGCATCCCGGAGCCAGTTCCCTGGGGGGGGGCGTGGCCTTCATAGCACACCCCGAGGGCAATTGTGGTGGTTTCTGAGTCCCAGGAGAGCGTTTTTAATAAAACACTAAGGGGATTTTTTTTCTTTCCACTTACATCCACATGTGTTAAGTATGTGCTATTGGGAAAGAGAGAACTAATATTTATTCTCTATACCGCTCTCCTATACATGATCTCTTTTTAGAATTTACTATTATGAAAATATTGACATTCTCAAAATATTGTTCATTCTCATAGAACAAGGAACTCCCCTATCCCGCCACAAGGATTCAACACTTATCAAGCTCCTGAAACATTTGTTTTATGTATCCCTTTCTGTTTTCTTCTGCTGTGTCATTTTAGGCCAAATTGCAGACATTATGTCATTTCGCTCCTATATATCCCAGTGTATAGCTCCAGAAAAGTAGAGCCGTTTCTTACATAAACCATAATGCCATTTTCAGACCTGACAAAATCGACTGATCCTGGTATTATCTAATACCCACTCCAGAATTAAATTTCCCTGATTGCCTAAAGCACATTAGTTTGTTCAACTCAAAATACATACAAAACCTACATACGAAACTTACCTGTATGACTTTTAAGTCTTATATTCCATAACAAACTATCCACCCTTTTCATTTTTCCCTCACATTGATATGTAGAAATTGGGTCAGTTGTCCTGTAGTGTCCTATTTTGTGGATTTGACTGCCTCTTTTCAATATCATTTAAATGGTTCTCTCTCTTCTATATTTCCTGTAAGTTGAAGTTGGATATAGATGCTTATTTATACTCAGATTCAATCTTGAGGGCAAGGAAGCTTCCTAGGAAATGATGTGTGTTGGCATTACACAATGCCTCATTGTACCAATTAGTGATGCTTTGATCAGATAATGACAGCCTTACCCTGCAATTGTAAAGTTCCTCATTAAACTTGAATTGTTTTGTCCATCATTCATTGCTTTATTTGCTACTATATTCATTAGCTATTCTTTCCCCAGGGGTTGTAGCAATTTTCTAATCCAATCATTTCTTCCACATCTATTAGCTAGAATTATTTCCCTCTTGAACTAAGGCTATTTGGTTAGCATGAAATATACTCTGACAGGAAAGGCAGGACAGACACTTAGCATTTCCCTTTTAAAGGTGAATTTTCAGGGATTGTAATGGACTTGACCTTTTTCTCCCTTGAGAACCATGAACTCATGGACGTATCAAAAATATAGTTAATTTGTTTCAATTAATTTCAGTTATTGTAGTCTTTTTTTTTTTTTTTAGTTGGAGTCTCACTCTGTCAACCAGGCTAGAGGGCAGTAGCACGCTTCCGGCCACCGTAGCCTTGACCTGCTGGGCTCAGCGATCCTTCCACCTCAGCCTTCTAAGTGGCTGCAACTACAGGCATGCGCCACCATGCCAGACTAATGTTTTGATTTATTGTAAAGATGAGGTCTTGCCAAGTTGCCCAGGCTGGTCTCGAACCTACGGGCTCAGGCAATCCTCTCACCTCAGCCTCCCAAAGTGCTTGGCTTATAGGCATGAGCCACCGCATCTGGCCTATTGTATTCTTTTTATGCTCAAATTGTCCAATGCTTTGGCCAGTGGGAGCTTCTTCGTGTAATTCCTTCATTCTTTCGTTATTAACCTAGTAGTCTTGGAAAAAGTCCGGGCTTTCTGACCGATCAAAATATCCAAGCTCATCCTGTACATTTATGCCCTAGGTCCAGAATCAGTCATTTTGAGACAATAATCTTGGTGCTAAGTGTATCGTGTCCCTTGATCTTATTGAATAAAATGTACAGGAGGCCATTGGTTTAGACTGAGCTCCTGCACTAGCCCCAACAGACCAAACCAAAATGGAGTTACTCGTGCTGAAGCTCCACATCACCAAATCAAAACTCAATTGTTTATCTGACTTTCCAAGAAACAAGGAGAAAAAGGAATAATAGCCAAATCCCCAAAGGGACCAGTTTTAGCTGTTATGATAAGGAGGTCCCTTCTGCTTTAACCTTTACAAAAGAAGTAACTTCGAAATGGCCAACCTACTTTCTGTTCTCTGCTTCTGCTTTCTTCATCCCTTCTCTACCTATAAAGCTATCCTCCTCTGCTCAGTTCATTGGAACACGCATTGAGCTGTTGCCTGATTCTAGAGTTGCAAACAAAAGCCAATTTGACTTTTATTTATTTATTTATTTTTGTACTCTGTCACTCAGGCTGGAGTGTAGTGGCACGCTCCTGGCCACCGCAGCCTCGACCTTCAGGGCTCTGGCGATCCTTCTGCTTCAGCCTTGCAAGTAGCTGGAACTACAGGCATGCACCACCGTGCCTGGCTAGTTTTTTTATTTATTGTAGAGATGAGGTCTTACCAAGTTTCCCAGGCTGATTTTGAACCCGTGGGCTGAGGCAATCCTCTCACCTTGGCCTTCCAAAGTGCTGGGATTATAGGTGTGAGCCACCGTGCCTGGTCACAATTTGACTTTTAAACTGCATTTGTTGTAATTTTGACTTTTGACAATGCTTGCAAGAACCTTGTGTAATATTACTGTCCTAATTTTCCATATGATGAAACATTTAACAACTTTCTCGAGGTTATAAAACTAATAATAGCAGACCAAAACTAAGACTGAGAACCACTGACTCCCTAGGTAGATATTTCTTCTGTTTTACTGTGCCTCTCTTTTATTTTTTAATTGAATTGAATTGAATTTTTTTTCTGAAGCTTCTTTTATAAGGGCATTACTGTGCCACTTGATATGAACTAATGACTTTTTAGTTCACAGGCAGATTGCTAATCATTCCTGACCTCCTAGCTTCTGATATGGTATTTAAAAGCTACCATCTGTCTTTCTATCCTGCCTAAGAACTCTAAGCTTATGCTGATTACATCACTGGAATAAGATTTAAAAGTGGACTTTGCTCCTTGTTTAGTGGTTTGACTCCAGACTCAAGAGATAACAAACAATCATGCTTCCAGGGGCAGAAAGTTTAATTCCTTATATTAGCATAAATATGCACAGATTAAAAAGTTCTGTCTCTTCTGTTATTTTTCTCCATGAATCATTGCAGCTACCCCATGAGGTCGAGCCAGTTCACGTGGCTTGCCCAAGGTCCTTGGCAGATGTTCCCCTGTGTTTTCTTTTGGACCTAAGCAGAACTTGCTTCTGTCGCTGATGTCCCTCACATACAACTTAAACGATGCTCATTGGCAAACTCAGAGCTGGCTATAGCTTACATTTCAGCACTTCTCTCTCTTCCCCATTCATTCATGAATTTTCATTATTTGCATGTTTGTCTAGTTCCCCTACAAGTTTAGAAACACCTTTGTTCCACATCTCCAGCTGTAGGTGTAAAATAAATGCCTGTTAAATACATCAGTGAATATGTAAACAACAAAACTAGTAAAAACTATTAATGAAAATGGGCAAAATTCAAATGACTATTTAAGCCTCATTTGTTCAAAACACATTTATTGAACATCTACTGTGTGCTAGGTATTGTTTTAGACATTCAGAATAATGTTCTCTATTCGCATGTAGTTTATATTATCTTATGAAGAGGCAGACAACAAAAATGTTTAACATATTATCTCTCGGTGATAAGGGCAATGAAGAAACACGAAGCATAGGAATGTCATGAATGTGATGCTTCAGACAGAAAGGCTAAAAGGTCTTTTGGGGGAGGCAACATTTGAGAATCAAAATAAAGGAAACAAAAGAGAAGGAAAAAGGAAAAAAATAATAAAGCAAAAGTTATAGCATAATGGCAGCGTAGGAAGTTCCAAACCTTTGTTACAGCATAAAAAACATCAATATGAATCCAGAAAATGGCTAAAATAATCTTATTGGAGCTTTGGAAAACAGTCAGATATCTACAACAACCAAGCAAATACCCTATTTGTAAAAATCCACATTCAGAATGA